CTGCCAATATTTGATCACATGCTTCAAATCATGCATTTGATTGGTTAATCCAAAAACTGTTGCCGGGATCCATCGCCAGTGCGGCGCACACGTAGCGATTGTTCAGCGACTGGGCAACAAATATCAAACATGTTTGATATTCCAGCGACGAGTTTCTGGCGTCAAAATCGGTGACGCCGGCCGGCGCACACGTGGCGATTTTTATCGCTAGTACCACCGATTCTGTTGCCGGCGACAAAATCGCCGAGAAATCGCCACGTGTGCGCTGCCCGGCGTCACCGATTTTGACGCCAGAAACTCGTCGCTGGAATATCAAACATGTTTGATATTTGTTGCCCAGTCGCTGAACAATCGCTACGTGTGCGCCGCACTGGCGATGGATCCCGGCAACAGTTTTTGGATTAACCAATCAAATGCATGATTTGAAGCACGTGATCAAATATTGGCAGCGCCTGTGGTTTGGTTTGAACAGGTCACGTACAGTTCACACAGGGGTATGTCGCTGATAGACGGTTGAATTGTTGCCGGGTGGCGCACACGTGGCGATTTTTATCGACAGTACCAGCGATAAAAATCGACGGTACTGTCGATAAAAATCGCCACGTGTGCGCCGGGCTTTAGGTAGCGGCAGTGGATCTAAGCGTTCCGTATAGAAACGGTCCAGGTTTCTCCTTTACATGTGCCCGAAAATCATAAATTTGATAACAGAATTTTTAAAGAAAACAACTTTGCATAGATGGTGCTTTTTTCTAGCTTGGGTTAGTTTCGTAGAAGTTCGATCAGCAACTTGTTAAGCGATGAAAAAGTTGATCACCGGCTAATAACCGTGTTTATTCGACTTTCCATTCTTGGGGCGTGTGCAATTAAAATTAACTAGCTTATACCAACTCAACACCGTACCGCGGAAAGGCTAGAATATTTTATTTCCAATCGCATAAAGGGCATTAAACTGCATGGATTGTACGAAGTAACGGTATTGTAGATGTAAAGAGCCCAGTAATACTAAAGCCGATGGAGACGTGAAAGAATCAGTGATGGCGCAAAAAAAACTCTGGCTGTGACCACCCTCAGTGCCATTCGGCTAAAAGGCTAACTACTTGGCTTTACCCAAGCTAGGTCACACCCCATGGCTAGCTATAGCCCTGAACGTTTATTCCTTACGGACTGTCCAGTATAGAAGTAGACGTAGAAGTAGAAGTCCGTGACTCACCCCATCCAAGTTATCCATGTTATAAACGTTTAATTTTGCGCTCGTTGCTAAATGTTACTTAATTGCATTACCGCAGGTTGTCTAATCTTTTGTTATTAAAAATTGAAATGATCTATGCACGCGTGTTGCACGGCGACATTTGCTCCTGCATGAAGGTATCATCAACATTTTTCAGCAGAACTGTAATGATGTGCAGAGCGATATTTACTGCTTGAATAATCGTTCCGATATATCGCAAGTCAACCTTCGATGCTGCACCATAATGATTAATTCATCATGAAATTATGCTCGTAGGGTCTAGGTCCCCCTGACCTCTGTTTGACCTGGCTCGTTTAGCTATTTCTGACTAACCCTAACCCTAACCTTAACCCTAACCCTATATATATATATATAAGTCAGAAATAGCTAAACGAACCAGGTCGAACAGAGGTCAGGGGGACATAGACCTTATCTGCTGAAATTATAGGGTGTCGGCAAACATTAATTAGACTGCTTTGCGGTTTTCGTCTACTTGCAGCCGACGATCAGGCGGCCGACAGGGAGGCGACGATGCGCCACCTATGTGCCAGCGTGAGAAACTCGCACATGGTGCTCGACCCGTGGGACTGCGGTGCGTTCTACGCATGTCTCGCTCACGGCACGATGGCGCGATACGTGTGTCCGCTGCAGCTTCTGTGGAACGACGAGGTGAAGGTGTGCGACTGGTCGTGGAACGTCGTCTGCGCGCCTGCGCCCGGTAATTATGCAGGAAAGCCGCTGCAGGTAGCTTGCGTGCGTGCGTGTGTGCGTGCGTGCGTGCGTGTGTTTGTGTGTGCGTGCGTGCGTGCGTGCGAGTGTGTGTGCGTGCATACGTGGGTGTGCATGTGTGCGCGCGCGCGCGCGCGTGTGTGTGTGTGTGTGTGTGTGTGTGTGTGTGTGTGTGTGTGTGTGTGTGTGTGT